GGGCCCTCCTGCGGCGCGGGGCCGGGGCCGGGGGCGGATGGCGGGGCCGCACCGCACCTCTCCGGGCGCCGGCCCCGGTAGGTGTTTGTCGGCCGTTCCCGGGTGCAGGAGGAAGGAGGGGTAGCGGGGGAGGGAGGGAGAGCAGCGGTGAGAGCAGGCGCTGGGTTTTGGGGCTCTGTAACATGGTTTCTCATGTGTGTGTTTTCTTTCTCTCCTCCTCCCGCTGCCTCTCTCCTCCTCCCCAAACACACACATACACACACACACACAAAACGCTTCCCCTCTCCCTCCCCCTCCTCAAGGCCGAAAAGGCAAGCCAAACCTGCAGCCGACGAAGGCTTTTGGGATTGTAGCGTGTGCACCTTCAGGAACAGCGCCGAAGCCTTCAAATGCAGCATCTGCGATGTCAGGAAAGGCACCTCCACAAGGTACGTCCCCACCTTCCCACACAGCCCTTTTGCTCCGCGCTGGGCTGCACCGACTTGTTGATTTTTCTTTCCCCCCCGCTGTTGCCTGGATATCGGCTGGTTGCACGCCCCCCCCCCCCAATCCCTTCTGTCCCCGTTGAAAAGCATGTGGATTTTAAAAATTCTCTTTCAAGCGTTTAATTGGAGCTGGAAGACATGTTTCGTGGATGTGGCAGCGACCTGAATCTTTTTGTTGTTCCGTGCCTTTTTGTCGCTGATGTGCAGAGGACCTCATGGAGATCCACAGGCGGCCAGAAACGTGCTGGCTGTAGTTTGGGGGCAAGCTGTTTTCTGTGGTTTGGGTGGAGATTTACCTGTGTTTTCTACGGGAGTAGAAATGATTGAGGATTAGGGAGCGAGAAAGGAAACGGCTGGAAACTAAAGCTGCCACGAGAACAACAACTCCCTTCCCGAGATGTTGATCTCCCGGTGTCTGTTGTCATCCGAAAGGAATCGGCTTTGTGCTCCGTGCGGGAATGGTGCGGATTGCTGAAAGCTTTAGCTGTCAGGTCTCTCTGATTGCCTCACGCTGAGTAACCGTGGAAGTCTTTATGAGATGGTGCAGCTGACATGTAGTAGTTAATATAATCTCAAACCACCCCTAAAACTTGCATGCTCCAAGTTAATGGGTTCAGAAAGTTTCTCCTGGAAATATCAGCTGGTGCTAAAACGGGCGTGTGGTGCTCTGCTTTTTCTTTTTTTTTTTTCTGATTTGTTCTACCATGTTGACTTCTGATTTTGTTCATATTGCACCTTCCAAATTTGAGTTCCCGTTGCTCTGCTTTGCCAAGGAAATAGTCCATAAGATTCCCATTGTGAAAGGCATCATTTTCCTCCTTTGAGTGAAGCAGTGTATTGAGGTGCTCTCATCAGCAGGCTGTTTGCATGACTTGGCTGTCTTGACTTGATTGACAAAGGAGGTGAAAGCGTGTTTGGTTGGTTATTGTTCATGCTGTGCTTTAAACAATGCGAAGTGCCTGCATTTTTAATGGGGAGCATGCTTTTGGGCCATTGAAACTCTCTGAGTTACAGCAACAAGAGTGCTGTAGTACTTCACAGTGTGTTTTATGATGCACGTTGGTTACGAGTATCCCTGCGCTTCTTACAAAAATATGCAGACATGTTGAACTTAAAACAGTTCTAAATAGCCTAGTTACAGCACTAAGGTTGAGCCTTTGGGACGATAGTGTTCTGTGTGCACCTATGGCTGGTTTTTAACTCGTTTTGTTCAATCTTGTTTTGTCAATGCTTGATTTCTGTGGTTTTCTGTTTGCCTTGTCTTTCCCGTTGGCTCAGGTGAAACATGTCGATCCTGCAGCCGCCTGGTCTTTAAACTGTGCTATTACAGCACGTGGCCTCGCAGTCACCACGGGTCCCCACAGCCTCACGTCACGCGTGTGCAACGGGTGTTGGTGGGAGGAGAGCCTTAATGAGATGTAGGAGCCCATATGGGCTGTGTCTTCTATCAGACTCGATCATTGTCATTTGGCCACTGTGCTGATGTTCATTTTGGGAGCAGCAGCTCTCTCTGGTGTGCCCTGACTTATTTTAAGGCTAATTTTCAAACTGTTTGTTGAGGTAGTAAGATGTTTTGTCTTTTAAAGGGCCCTCAAGAGGGGTAGCGGTTGATGATTTTGGGTGAAGAACTCTAGCCTTACTTGCAGATGTGCTCCTCGGGTCTAGAACATTGTACTTCTGTTTAGCTTTTAATAGACCCTTATGAATGGCTTCTAATTTTAATTCATTTAATTCATCAGCTTTCTATTCATTTTTGCTGCTTTTAAAATTGCTTTTGTTTGTAGAATTTGAGAAAGTATTTAAAATATTCAATGGACCATCATGTCTTCTTGCATATTTATATCACTTATGAATAAATATAACCGAAAGCAGGAATGATTGAACGTTGTGAGTGAGCGTCGTATGTTGAGAAGACCTGGGAGGTCAGAGTTCTTTGTTGTGGTATTGCCTTGAGTGTTACAGTATGTGACGTACGAGTTGATGCTGGGGAAATTCTTCAGAATTTTTCAAATAAATGACTGATGTAAAGATACTTAACGAGTTGCGATTGATAATTTATTACTTGAAATCTAAGGTGTCTGATGAGCTTGACTTTTAAGTTGCAATTTGACAAGTTGATGACACTTTTCCACATTTAAAAATGCCTTGCTTCATTAAGGCTTACTTCAGTAACACATCGGAAATTTATCAAACTCACTTTGCAAAAAAAACCCAACAAAGTAGTGAAAGACAGACATCATCAATGTGGTGAGGTAGCTGGTTTTCATCAAATTGTGTGCAATTACACTATGCCTGTTTTTTTTTTTAATTAAGATCTGATATGACCTATTTCCCCTCACTCTACCCTCTCCAATCCACTGTGAAGCCAGTTATTTGCTGTAGAATTTACTTTGGCTGATAAATATTCTCTGATTTGAGATCTAGTTAGGACGTTAGCTAGTTCTCTCCGTGTGTATATTTTTTCAGACTTGATATAATCTGTTGGTGTGTGGGAGGGGTGGCTGGCAGCAGTTAGAAGTTTTACTTTTTCAGATCCAACTATCCCCTTTCCCAAGCATCTCATAAAAGGAGCTTCAAACGCGGGGAGTTTTAGAGTTGACGTGCCAAGTCAAAATCACTGTAGATGCTAAACAGTTAAATTGCACCTGAGTACTTTTTCAAGGGGCTGTTTATAAATATTTCAGTTGCACTTTTAAATAAAAATGAGGTCAAATCCATCTCAAGAGAATTGGGAGTTGTCGTGCAAAGACTACATTAAACCTGTAGTACTTACTTGAATACTGGATTTGTTACAGTATGTCACTAACTCCCTTTCCTCAACTTTATTCTTGCTATTTTACACTAAAACTTTATTAGGCTCTATTTAGGCAAGTATGTTGAGTTTTTCTACCGTTTTCCTTCTGTGAGAGTCACGGCAACGATAAATGCTGTGTTCAACACAGCATGCAGTTGGGCGAGACAATGATTTAACTGGTTGGCTTGGGAGTGAGCAATGGTAAGGTGTTTGCTGGGATGTACAATACTTTTTTTCTTTCCCAGATGTTTTTGTACTGGTGTAATGATGCGGGGAACTGGTGCTGGCCACCACTTCCACTTGTGTCCTGCGGTTCTTCTGGTGGTTTACTCTGGTGTAGCCCCACCAGCTCCCGCACACAGGAGGCAGCTTGAATTAAAACTTCTGCTGCAAAGTTTGCTTCACGAACACATGTTCCCTTCCAATATCCATTACTTCTTCAAACGCAGAAGGAAGGTTTACTTTGGATTTCCTAGGAATGTGAGGGCAGAATTTGGCCTTGTATTTCCCCTTATGAACAGCTCTGTGTTCCTGTTTGAGGGTAGATGGTGGTTCCTTGCTTCCATTTGTTTTTCTTAATGGTGTTCTTGCTCCTCTTCCCCTTTGGTTCTCTGATGGTTTTTGTATGTTGTACTCCACTGCACCTCTTCCACTAACTTCATCTCTCCTCCCAGGCACGGTTGCGCAAGGTGATGGAGCTTCTCTGACGTTAATTTTTCTCAAACTTCAGTTGAAGTGCTTTCCCTGTCCAAACTTCACAGCCTCTATCATAAGTGTGCCTTGATTGCAGAGAAATGCCCTAAAAAAAAGTCAGTGGAAGATGAGAGAGCAACAACTGGATGTCTGACATGCCAATTAACAAAACAATGGGACTTTTTAGTACAAATTTAACAAGTTGCAATGTGTATGTCCTCTGCAAGGCGGGCACATTGTAAGCATTTCTGTTGTATTTGTGGCTAATACCTGTGTACCCAAAGTGTGTAGTCTGGAGATGGCATCAAGTGGTTTGAATGTTGTGGAGGGCTCAGGGAGCATGTATCAGCCACGTTTCACTCTCCTGCCATTCTTTAGAAGGGTGGTGGAGCTGAAACAACTCACCATAATTTTAAAAAGAATTTTCTAGTGTATGGAACAGGTGTCTCAGATACGTACTGGCCTTTGTTCCCTGTCAGTTCTGCAGAAAATTTGTTTGCAGGATCTAGCTAGCACCTTGAAGGACTTAAACTGACTTAAACTGTCCATGTCACTGTTGAAAATTGTTCTCTTGTTCTGCATCCAGACTGGGCTGACCAGAATAGACACCAGATAGTCCTGCTATTCCTGGAATGAGGGATCAGGCTCACGATCCAGATCTCTGTTCAACTAATGTATGCCCTGCTTATTTGCTACCTATTTGCAGGATTGTTCTTCTAAAAATGCTTGCTTTGGCATGCAGCTATGGTTTGGTTAGAAGCAAAGTGATTTCACTCCATTCTTTCATGTTAGATGGCTTTCACCTGCAATAAGGCAGGTTTTATTTAGCATTGTAGTGGCCTTTAAGTGGGTTATTTTCTATAAAAATGGAGTATGTGACTCAGCTGGAAAAAGCTGTTGTGGAAGGGACGTCAATGCCTTTACTCTGGAATATTTGTTTTACTAATTGGCCGTTTAGATCTGTGGTTAAATCATCTCTATTTTTCCTGTTGAGCGCTGAAGTTAAATGGCAGGTCGATCAGGTGGAGTGAAGCTGGGTCTGTACCAGCCTGGAGTTGTGCCAGTGCTCCCCGGGGCCATCCAGGTCCTGGAGACATGTCCCCTCCGGGACGACTTTGTCGGTAATGGATTGGGAACAGCCTAATTCTGGCGAGGTGGTTTTGAGTGTTGGAATGCTGGATTTGCAAAACGTTTGCCCACGTGCAAAGAGTTCTTCAGACTTCTGTTGTCTCACGCCTTGTTTATCAGCACTGTCTAAAAGTAATTAGCTGTTACTCTTCTGCGTTTGTAGGTATTTTTGGTGGGTCTGGGAGCTGAGGACAGGAGGAGCCTTTTGCAAACCAAGCCTTTTACAAGCAGACAATGCTGATGGTTCACAGTAAGCCCCGAATTCTGGGGCTGAGGTTTGACAATATGCTAAATTTGACTTCATCACTCGTATTGCTGGATCCTGGGT